CAAGGAAGGGAGGGAGGGAGGGAGGGAGGGAGAAAGGAAGGAAGGAAGGAAGGAAGGAAGGAAGGAAGGAAGATTTTTGAGGCTCCCTAACAGCTTTCTACAGGGGAACTCAGTAAGAGATAAGATAAGATAACCTTTATTGTCATTTTTTTTTACTGTGGGCACAACTGCACATATCAAAAATGAACTTCAGTTGCCTGCTCTCAAAGTGAAACACATACACGACACACACCTAAAACATATTATATATAATACAACATATGTATAGACATATGTTGTAGAAGCTGGTAGGAAGTCAGAAAACACTCCCACCCCCGCAGCACCCGTGGTCACTCTGTTTCTCAGTTGAGGTAAGGAAATATTTCTGAAAAGATGACCCAATAAGACATGGGTTGTCTAGTTGATAAATAAAAGTAGAAAATTAGGAAAGATGGGAATTTGCATAAAAGAGGGTAAAGTCTGGTTCATTTCCTCTAGGCAGGAGCGCGCAACATTGCCAGAGTGTGTTGATACGTCACTTTCAGAAAGAATTCCCAGAATATTAGCCTAACACAAGACGCAGTGAGGTGAAGACGTTGGACAAGAAGTGAGGAGATTCAAGTTCTAATCTCAGCCACAGACGTTCCATGGGTGGCTTTGAGCCAGTCCTCCTCTCTCAGCTTCTTCCACAGGGTTGTTTTTGTAAGGGGAAGTTGAGTTCTACGCCACTTTGAGCTCCCAAAGGAAAGACACCATAATAATAATAATAATAATAATAATAATAATAATAATAATAATAATAATAATAATAATAATAATAATAATAATACTTTTTATTTTGCGGTCACAGACCAAAATGCAAGTGCAACAAAAGAAAACACAAGAAAAATATGATCACAAACAATTAAACACCAGAATCCTTGGCTAAAGGGAATTACAACGTTCTCCTCTAATAGTTACAGCTCTTAAAAGAAATTTAGAAACCTAAGAAGTAATATAGGAGGAGCCATCCCCTAAACAATAGAAGACCAAATTACTACCATTGGGACCAGAGGGATCGATTCCAAGGAGAGACAGTAATTTAATTCTGCCTGTGTTATACATAGGGCAGTATGATAAGACATGCTCCACAGTTTCAACTTCGGCCCTATCACAGGGGCATAGTCGCTCACTAAACGGGAGCCTCTTGAATCGCCCGTCGAGTAGTGCTGAGGGCAAGACATTGAAACGGGCCAGGGAAAAGACTCTTCTATACTTGGGGATGGTTAGAGTATAGAAATATGAAGCCATCCTCAATCCATAATTATTAGAATGGCTGAAGATCAAAGGGGAGCAGGTTTTGTTGGCTCTGGCTCTTAAATATTGCAAATCTATGTCCACAAGCCGTTGGACTATCCTAAACTGGGCTTCCTTGGGACCATAATCTCCCAGAGCATCCCCCGTTGGAAAGACACCATGTTCCACTAACAAATAAAATTTGTCACGCTATATTTGTCCTCACAAAATCCAGCTGTCAACCAGAGAAACAGGAAGGCCGAGGAACGGTGAAGCAACCTTAGCAGGTCCCCTTTCAATGTTATTTTTGTGCATGTCCCAAAGGTGCTTTTCCAAAAGTCAACTGAACTTTCTTGGGTTTTTTTTCCCCCATGACAATGTTTCACTTTTCATCCAGAGAATAGAGCTGGAAGGGACCTTGGGGGGGTCTTCTAGTTGAGCCCTCTGCTCGATCAGGAGAACCTATACTATCTCAGACAGGTGGCTGTCTAGTCTCTTCTTAAAAATCTCCAGTAATGGAGTCCCCACATTTTCTGGAGGCAAGCTGTTCCACTGGTGAATTGTCCTCACTGTTAGAAAGTTTCTCCTTAATTCCAGGTTGATTCTCTCTTTGGTCAGTTTCCAACCGTTGTTTCTTGTCCTGCCTTCTGGTGCTTTGGAGAATAATTTGACCCCCTCCTCTTCTTTGTGGCAGCCTCTCAAATACTGGAATACTGCTTTCATGTTGCTCCTGTTTCTTCTTTTCTGCAGACTAGCCAAACCAAAGTCCTGCAGTCGTTCTTCATATCCAAGAAGCTTCTTCTTCATAGAACTGTGAAGCAAAATGTTTTCAAGGAAAAGAAACCAATAAATTACAGCTGACTTTGGAAAAAACATCTTTGGGACAACCATAACCTGGAGGATTGAGAAACTCCATGACTTTATTATTATTATTATTATTATTATTATTATTATTATTATTATTATTATTATTATTATTATTATTATTATTATTATTATTATTATTATTATTATTATTATTATTATTATTATTATTATTA